ATCTCTCGGCCGGGGACACCCTGCCAGCCCCACGGCAGAGCGTGTGGGATGGGGGGAGCCGGTCCTTCCCCTCGCCTGGCTCGTGGCCATCTCTGGCTCTCACCGATGCCCCGGGGCACGGCGTGGCTTCTGCAGTTTCTTGCACTTTCCATTTACCAAATAAAAAAAACCTTGGCTGTAAGGTCTAGAAAACAAAAAGCCCTTTTTCAGTCAGAGGAGGGTGATTAACGTTCCCCCAGGGGAACCAAAGGGCCCCCCGTCACCCTTCTGAGTAAATGCACCTTCTGAGTAAACGCGGTTTGTTGTTCCAAGAAGTCGGGTGACTCACCTGGGGGAGGCCTCGGAAGCAGTGAGGTCCCTGCAGCACGTGTCCCCGCAGTGATGGGGTTCAGCAGAGGTGTGCGGGGCTGTCTCCTGTCCTGCTGTCCCTCTGTCCCCACGTCCCCTCCGCCGGGACCATCGCGCCATCCGCTGTCGGACGCGTCGGGCTCGGTGTTGCCGAACGGTGCTGGATGCCATGTCCTCCTCCTCCCGTGCCAAAAGAAGGGGCTGGCTCAGCCTGAGGTGTCCCTGGGGGTGTTTGGAGGTGGCAGTGGGACCCCATTCCAGACCTTGGTGGGGACTCGTGGTCCTCCCCCCTGCCCTGCGCCGTGGGGCAGCCTGGCCGAGCTCCAGCCAAGGGCAAAGCAGGTCAGGCATCCCTCCGAGGTTTCCCCAGGAGCTGCAGGGACTTGCTCTGTCTGTAACAGTTGTGCCGTCAATCCGAGGGAGGTCATAGCCCTCTGTGGCTTTTTCAGATGGGTATTTCAGCACTTATCATGTTTTCTTCGTTTCTGAAGGCCCCAGAGGAGGGAGGGAAAGGCTGGAGGGGTGAGGAGGAGGAGGAGGAGGAGGAGGGAGGAAGATAGCAGTAGTCTGCTTCCTGCCCAGGTTCGCTGCTCCATCGATTTCCAGTGTCACTTCTGATGTGCTGGGCACGGTGCCACTTCACTCCTCGTGTGTCCAACCCCTGTGGGGTCTCCTGGAGCCGGTGGGGAGGGGGAGGTGGTCTCAGCACGTCACCGGGACACCGGGCAGAGCATTCCCAGGGAGCAACCGGGCAGAGCAGCTGCTTGGGCCAGCTCACTAATTTCATTTTTTATTTTTTTTTGTTAAGCTGTCAAGTTAATACTTTGTCTTTTATGAGCACATCCTGGGTAGGGCCGTGCTCGGAAAAATCTGCTCTGCACAGACAGGTCCATTTTAGTTAAGAAAAGAAGAGAGAGAGGAGGTGGCAGAGGTGGTGGCAGAGGGTTCTGCCCCAGATGCTGCTGAGGGATGTTCCCAGGGTGAAGCTGGACCTGGAGGACAGTCCCTCGTCCCACCTCCCTGCATGGCCTCAACGTTTCAGCCCCAGCAGCCCCCGGAGACACTCTGTGCCTTCCCTCCAGTTACACAAGAATCAAATCTCCAGTTCCAAGCAGAGGTTACAAATGGAGAGATTTTTTTAACCTTTTTTCCCCAGGTGCATTCCAGGGAAGCACTCCCAATTCTTATTCATAACTCATATTTGTTCCTCTGAAAACGCTCTTTTGTGTCGGGTCAGTTCATTGATGTCTGTGTGTTTGTTTTGCTCAAATTCCAGAGACAGGGAGCCGTGCATTTACAAAACCAACGTGATCCCGACCCTGTGGCTGTCTGCCCCTCGTGTTCTCGGTGTAACTTTTCATTCTGTATTTTCACAGCCCGTTGGGAAGGCTGATCTGTCCCACAAACAGCCCCTGCACATCTTGCTGTGACTGGCACAGCTCTGGTTTGCCAGTGCCTGTGCCCTGAGCCAGCCACCAGCCCAAGGTGGGCTGCAGAGCGCCGGGGAGGAAGGCTTTCCTCCAGCTTTGGTGATCCTTGGCCACCTCCAGCTCCCAGCTGGGACCAGTGGGCATCCCCAGCCCCTCTCCAGCTCCTCACCCCCCTCTGCTTTCTCTTGGGAGCAAAAGAGTGGCATTTAGTGGCTGCCAACCCCTCATCCCATCCCTCCTCGGAGGAGCTGCGTTACCGTGGTCTTCCCCACCTGCAGGACTGTGCAACTGGTTACAGAGCTCAGGGATAAGTTCTTTGCTAATAATGTTTGGGGCCTTCAGGGTGGGAAAATCCAGGACGGCGCAGGGGCTTGTTCGTGGTGGGATTTCTCGCTGGGGTGTAGGAGCAGCCACGCAGCGGGTGGTTCTCCCAGACATTGCTGCTTCAATGCAAAACATCCCCAGTAAATTCAGCTGAACCCGGGCTGTGGTGGGGATGGCAGAGCCCTAACACGAGTCCATTTTTACACCTGTGCAACGCTGGGGGGTGGTTAGTGATCCACGGGGGCAGGGCAAAACACCCCGCTGTGCTGACAAGCCCTCTGTCCACCTCATTAATCTTTTCCCATTACTCTCACACGCATACGGAGAGCACGAGGAAGATGTAATGGTTTGGCGAAGGAGCTTCGGAGCGCGTTGGCTTCGCTGCAAAACCAGCAAAGTCAAAGCCAAAGGAAGACGGTGGTTTTTTTTGTTTTGTTTTGTTTTGTTTTGTTTTTTCTGAAGGGGTCTTGCAATATCTCGGCGCTGGTGTTTGCTTCAGCGTTCGGGGAGGAGTTTGACAGCACTGCACAAACAAGCCTCTTTCTATAGCAACTGGCCCCTCCAGGCCATCTCCGGGCGCCTTACACAATGTGCATGGAAAAGCACTGAGACGTGAACGTCTGCGCCGCAGATTGAAGGCAACATGAGAAAAGCAGCAGAGGATTTCAATTTGGCTTTGTAAGTGCCAATAGCAGCAACAGCCCAATCCCCGCTGAGAACGAATTGCTTCACTCGGGGACAGAGAGGCCTCTTCCAGCCTGGGGCAACGGGGACGGGAGGTGAAAACACATTTGCAAACAGCTCGGCGGTTGTTTATGTGTTGCTGAGCAAGTTAAGGTTGGCCCAAGGTGTCAGTGCGAGGGAAGTGCCTTCTTTGATGGCAGTCAGGTTTGATCTGCTCAGCACCTTCCTTACAACCAGGCGTGAACCAGCTGCTGCCTGGAGCTGGGCACTGGGATGGGGACAGGGATGGGGATAGGGAAAGGACAGGGATGGGGATAGGGAAAGGACGGAGAAGGGGACAAGACAGGGATGGGGACGGGGATGGGGATGGGAATAGGGATGGGGATGGGGACGGGACGGGGACGGGGACAGGATGGGGATGGGGATGGGAATGGGAATGGGAATGGGGACAGGACGGGGATGGGGATGGGATGGGGACGGGATGGGGATGGGGTGGTCCAGCACAGGGTGGCTCTGGGATGCACACCCCCAAGTGCCTTTTCTCCAGAGAAGATGCTTCACCCCAAACAACACACTTTATCCTGCTGACACAGGGCTGAGCTTACCAGGGCCAACCCTGTAGAAGATGATGGTGGAAGCTGGGTGTGCTCCGAGCTACAAATGAGAGATCAGAGCACAGAGGCACCTGGTTCTGCTGCCAAACCCCTTCCTCTCCCCCCCAGCCCCGATGCTTTCCCTCCCTGGTCTGTGTGGTCCTCTCCAACTGCCCGAGCATCCCATGGGAGGTGAAATGCTCAGCTCGGGGGACCTCATGCAGGTTGTGGTGCCCCAACGTTGCTCCCCATCTGCTGTCTCCAGCCCGAGTCCCACACAGGGGATGTGTGTGTGGTAACAGCCACGCTGAACATCCTCCTGGATATAAATCCTCACCAAAGGTGAATTTTAGCTGCCAGGAAAAGGCGAGGTGCTGGGAGATCCCTCCCTGGTGCAATCTGGCAGCCGTTGGGGAAGGACAGGGGCTGGCAGCGTGAAACACTGTTTACCCAGGGATGTAAGGAAAGGAAAAAACAACCACTGACAATAAATAAAACGTTGGAAAGATTGTAAAGTGAGATCAAGGAATTTAAAGGAAGAGAGTTTATATGGGGTATTTCCTGATAAAATCGGACATTTCAAAGCGTCCCTGAGCGGTGTGGCAATGTTGCGGTAAGCCAAAAGCATTTATGGGCAGCAGAATAGGCAGTTTCCTTGAAAAAGGGTATTTCAGATACATGATTTTAAAGGTTGCTGCGTGGCTCTGTGCCCGCTGAAGCTGGAAGAAACCCTCGAGCCAAAATGGCCAGCAATCCAAAAAGCTGTTTGGGGATTATTTATTATCATCCATTCCCACTGCGGGAACGCGAACGGCAGCGGTCGGGCCTGGCTGCTCCGGGCTGGACCCTGTGCAAACACCACTTGAAGGTGCAGTTGCCTTTAAATATATATATTTTTAACCTGTTCCCTATAATACAGCAGGCAGATAATTGTGCTGAGGGTGTTAGCAACTTCAGAAGGTTCCAGCTGCCCTGGAACATCGTCTGGCTAACCAGACGATGGGAGATAATTTTTTCCCCTTTGTGCTCAATTGGCCCCATCTCCTCCTTCTAATGAAGCACCTTTGTCACCGAGGCAGTGACAAAGTGCCAGGCTGTGACGTCCTGAACCACTCCTCCCGACAGCAGAGTTGTCGGTGCCTTCTACACCGGGGAGTGACAGAGCAGGGAGAAACCACAATTCCAGTGGGAAGAGAGAGTCCTGTGGTTTTTGGTCCCTCGTCATTGATTTTCACACCCTGCAGCCGACGTTTGGGGAGCAAACCTGAAGCCGGGTCCCCCTCTTGCTCTCCCTGCCATGGCTCAGCACTGGTCTGGGGGCTCCTGGGTGGCTTTGCAGGGGGGCAGAGCATGGTCCTTCCCACCAAATCCCCAGCTGCTCCTAATGATTTGCTCTCCCCCAGCTGAAAGTCATCCCCCTGAGCAGCTCCCTGCCCTCAGCCGCTCCGTGCCCGCGTGCTTTGGAGCCAGCCTGGGCTCTCCAGCAGTTTCCCAACCTCAGGGTCTTCCCTCCACGTCCCACCTGGCCCGAGCGGGGCTGCACCCTGCGCCAGGCTCAGCCCAGGTGGGAGGGACTGGGCTCCCATTAAATCCCAGGCTCCCCGAGGACGGAGCCCTTGTGAAGACCCACCCCGGGCTGGGTGCAGGAGCCCAAGGTGCTGTTGGAGACGTTGCAGCGGGAGAAGGGGACGAGCAGCTGCAGCTCAGGTACCCGCCGAGCGCTGGTTTGAAGGGGCCACCTCTGCTTTTCCACCTCTCAAACCCTCTCTTCCCTCGGTCCCCCCCCACTGATGTTGTTCGCAGTTTGTGTCAGTTCCTCTCTCCCCTCACTTCTCCTCCTGCTCTGTGTTTAGTGGGTGATTATTCCTGTGTCTGGGGAGAAATCTGCCCCAGGGATCCCGAATAAGCCAGGACATTGTTGTTCCTGCCCGAGCAGCGCTGCTGGCTGCGGGGAGAGCTGGTGGTGTCTGTCCTGGGTGGGGAAGGCTGGCTCTTCTGTGAAAAATGGTATAGGATTATGCTTATTGCTCCGGCTGAGACTTTGGATTTTTCTCAGTAGTCCATGGGTTTTATTTTATTAGCAATTACCTTCCTTCTTCACCCGGAGTTTGACATATTTAAGATTTCCAGTGGCGTTTGTGGACTGTGCGAGCGGCGTGAGATGCCCGGAGGGGATTCAGGCTGTGGAAAGGAGGTTGTGTCCGTGTGGCTGCTCCCTGCTCTTCCTGCGGTGGAGTGTTGAGAGTTCAAGGCAATAAAAATGCCACGTGGTAGCGAGAAGTGTGAGCGGCCGGAGGCGGTGGTTTGTGGAGGGCTCGGGAGGAAAAGGAGGGAGCTCTGCCTTGGCCGAGGTTGTTGGGTTCCTCTCTGCTTTCCCAAGCCACTGACACTCAGCGAGGTCCAAGCATCGTGGCTCAGGTCGGCACCAAGAGATGCTGTGAGACCAAACCCAAGGTGCTGAGCGTCCGTCCTTGTGTGAGAGGAGAGCAGAGCATCGGGATGGTTGTGTGGAAGCCCTCCAGGGGTCCACAGAGGAGCACTGCCTGCACGGGCAGGAGGGAAGGTGTGAGGAGGGGAGGAAGAGTCTCTTCTCCCACCCTGGCACCTCCGAAACACAGAGAAACAGCCTCTCTCATGCCCATCGTTATCACAGTGCCTAATGCAAGGGGACAGAAGTGAGACAGGACTGAAATCTCAGGAAGGAAAAATCCAGGCTGGCACTCTGAGGAGTGTGTTTGTGTGTCTAGAAAATCTCGCATTCCTGTAACTCATCTCAAACATTCCTAGCATTAGCTAATTTAGTTTATTTTTGGACAGATCTCCTCTTCTAAGGATGCTCTCCTTGCTGCCTCCTCCCTGAGCTCCCCGTGCCCACGGCTCACCCTGCAAAGAGCCAGAGAAAAAACCCTCCTGGATGTGCTGGGACATCCCTTGGGAATAGGGACTGGGCTCTGCTGCTCCTCTCCTACCCAGAAAAGCTCTTGCTAAAGAGGGAAGAATCTTCCTGGGAGAGGAGAAGAAGCGTGGCGGTGGGAGGTGGAGTTATTTGAGTAGCAATTTCAACATCACTAATAACCCTCCTCATCCAAAACCCTGGAGACCCTTTCAGGAGTCTGAACTGTGGCTACAGCAGCGATGCTGTGGGGCTGTGGTGGGGAGGACTGGGGGGAGGATGGGTTGTGCTGCTGGATGGTGCTGGCTGCCCAGCAAACGCTCCACTGTGGCCATGGTCACACAGATGCTGCCCCATCCCGGGGCTGATCGAGTACCCAGAGTCAGCGATGCTGCCTGGGGCTTCCAAAAAGCTGCTTTTTGCTGCTGAACTTTCTAATTATACTTGTCTGAGCGAGGAGGGAGGCGGCTTTGTCTGACAGCCGCCCTTCTCCCCCTGGTTCTGGGGGGGCTGCCCCTCCACAGGCACCAGCTGCCTCAGGCTCCAGGTGCTGGACCCCCCCGTGGCTGGATGTACATTGATATTTGCCATGAGATACCTCTGTTTGGCAGCCCAAACACTGCATAACCCATAGCAACCTTCCTCAATCTCATCAGCACGCCCTGCTAATCCAGGCGGGTCACCCCGCTGCCCCGACGATGATTAAGCCGGGCGTAATGAGCTCCTGGGTGTCCCATCAGGTCCCTCCACTCCCACTGGAGCAGGGATGTGGGACAGCCTTGTCACCAGCAGGCTCCCAGGCATCACGTTGTGAGGGAAAACAACTCGGTTTGGCAGCTGGTTTTGCCGTTTTGGGGTCTCGGCGCAGACAGGGAACGAGCCCATGTCCCAGCTCGTGTGTCTCAGCCCCAAATAACCACGCTGGGACATCCAGGGCTCTGCGTGGGCAGCTGAGAAGGAGGGTTTTGGGGTTGGGGGAACCGGCCTGGCTCTGGGGGGCTGCTTCGGGGTCCCCAGGCAGGGCAGGGACCCGGTGTGAGGACTCTGGTCCATGTAGGATCTGTGGGGCTTGTCCCCCGTGGCAGCCACGTGGGGCTATGCCGTGCCTGGCGGCTCTGGGAAGGGCTCCATAGTGGTTATCAAACAGTCGGGGTGTGCCGGGCACAGCCCTGGCCCGAGGGCACCCCACTTCTCCCACAGCCTCCCAGGAGCACCCCACAGCCCCCCCAGCCCAGCTCCTCCCCTCTCCCCAGCCCCCTGTGGGTGCTCCAGCTCCAGTCCCAACACCCCCAGTCCAGCTCTTCTTCGTGTTGGAGGGCTCCTGCCAAGCTGGGCTGGAGGTGGAGGGGAGGACTGGGGTTACGGGGCTGAACTGCAACTCCTGCCTCCCCAAGAGCCTTTTAAGAGTGTGTCCATCTGCATCCAAACCCTGCGACTTGGATCCTTCCTCCGAGGGGGAATTCTGTTCCACAGGCTGTTTCCAGAGGCAGAAACGCTGTGATTTCCAGCCTCGCTGTGTTTGTGGCCAGCTTATTTCCATTTCTTCTTGCGCTAACCTCGTCTTAGCTTAACCAGCAGTGCTCCTTCCCCCAACGTGGATCCTCCCGGAGCCGGCCAGGGCATGTCTGCAGCCCTGGGCTGCCTCTGCCGGGGCTGCCACGCTTCTGCCACGGAGCCGGGGGCATCACACCTCCTGGCATGGCATCCCTGAGCCATCGGCCTTGCCGTGTGGTACCTCGCCTGTGCTTGAGGTCCTGGCACTCTGTCCTGGCCCCTTTCCCCCTCTGCCCCTGGGGACACAGCATCACCCAGCCTCTGCCAGGGCCGTGCGGGAGGGCACTGCTAATTCTGGTTGCTTTTGGAAAGTCCTGACGTCTTCTGTGGGCAGCGTTTGGCTTTCTCGTGGCAAACAGCCACCTTGTGATGAACCTCCTTCGCCCAAGCCCTTCTCCCTCCGAGCAGAAGAGCCTGCAGCTGAGGCTGGAAATTCTTGCGAGGAGCCTGGGAGACCTCTCGCTTCAACCCAGAGGAGGGAAGGGAGGAGAAATTAGGTTTGGAGGCTAATTCTGGCAGCGTCAGGCATGAGAGAGATCAAAAACTCAGGGCAGGAGTACAAGAGAGGAGGGAAGCTGTTGCGTGCATGCTCCTGGAACCCCCTGACAGCCCCGGTTCATGCATACTGCACGTTATTTCTGTACCTACTTAAATTAAAACCAGCCTTGTCTTGCGGACGCTGACTGGAGCCAGGCAGTTCTTCTCCCCAGGGGAGAATCCAATTTTCACTCCATCTAGCTTGTGTTTTTGACCTGGAATGACTCTTCTTTTTATATTTAACAAACGCTCCCTCCAAGCCCCGTACCGTGCTGCGCTTCTCACGGCGGCACCGGCGGCGTCATGGCACATACGTGCCCCGAGGCAGGAGAGCAGGAGCGGGCAGAGGGCTCACAGTGATCCCACTGACCCACGGCAGAGCCCCACGGTGACCAGAACCAAGGGGAGGTGCAGCAGAGCCCAGGCACGGCCAGTGGGAAAGGGGATCTGGGGTCCAGCCCACTTCTGCATCCTCTGCGCCTTGGGGTTTGGGTCCCCAGGTGCTGGCCATGGCCTGGCCACTGGGGAGGGACCAGGAGGGACCCCACCACACTCAGGCTGTGTGTTTCATGTGCCAGCTGCCTGAGCCTGGGGGGCACCTTCCCTGAGATCTAGCTCTTCCCACCCATTTTCTGATAGATCCCTTCCGAACCCACCCTCCGTAGGGATAACCTGCTCTGGACTGTCCATCTCCCACTGGGGCTTGGGACAGACCTGCTGGACGCCTGGAGGTGCAGCTGGAGCTCCCATCCATAGCACTAATGGTTAATTACAGCTCAGAGCTGTGTGCCCATCTAATTTTCAGCTAAAGGCACAACAGCTGCCTCCCAGAGGTGCTTTCCTTTCCTTGGTGCAGGACACGTCCTTGCTCCTGAGCCTTTCTTACGGACCAGCCCATAAATAACATCCATCAGAGGCTCAGGAGACACAGTGGGGTCCGGGCTGGGAGGAGGCTAAATGGGTTTGAAGTATTTATTCCCTTCTGCAGTCCTTAAAAACCTCTCGTAGCTCTTTGGGGAGCGTTGACTGGTGTGACTCATGATCCACAGCCGCGGTGAGCGCCATACACCGTAAGCAGCGGCAGACAGTGGCAAGGATTTGCTTCTGATTGACTAATCTTCCCCAGTCTCTGCTATTCTGGGTATTCTCTCTCTCTGGCAAGAGGCTTCTTCAGGGCGGCATAATTCAGGGGGGGCAAAGCCAGGCTGTGTTGAGCCATCTCAGTAACAGCTCTTAACACCCAACGTGGTGATTAGTCACCTCTGGGCAGACGTGACGTGCCCCACCAGCCCCACGCTCCTGCCCTCGCCCACGGGTGCCTACGGACTGGCTGCCCGAGAGGAACGTGTCTCTGCTTTAATGCTGTGACTCCACAGTTAATCAGCCCCAGATAGGCCAGTAAATACGTCAGTCACTCCAGATGGGTGCAGGAAAGGACAAATATTTGAATAAGTGTAGCCCACTGTGTGTGTTCCACACCGGGAGAGGGAGGAGGGAGCCCTGAGCTGCAGCATGAACTCCTCCTGCTCCCACCCTCTGGCCATCCCGTGGTCCCTGAGGAGGACGGGCACAGGGAACGTCCTTGGTGTTGGTGTTCCCAAGCACCCAGAGGCTGGGTTTGGGCTGCTGAGGAGTGGCACAGAGAGGGATGGGTTTATTTTCCTCATCCTGAGACACGAGTGAGGTTCCCCCAGCGCTGTGGTGGCAGCTGGGAGGACCCCACTTGTTGGAGCTGGACAACCTCCCCACCTCCAAACCCAGGACCTTTTTACCTAGACACCCCCCCGAGGGAAACCTGCCTTCTGCAGTGGGTTGTTTTGGGTTTTTTTAATGGCAGATTTAAAAATACATTCTATCTAAAGCAAACTCAGAGAGTATTCAAAATGTAAGAGTGATCAGATTCCAAGGGCAGCGCCTCGACTGAGGTATCCATGGGCTTCCAGGGCTCGGCTCACATTGTACCACCAAAATAAACCCTCGGATTAAAGGTACACCCACTTGCAGAACGTGGCTCTGGCAAGATGCCCCCTCTCTCTGGCCCACGGTGGCTCCTCCCTGGGTGGCTCCGAGCTCTCTGCCTGTCATTGTCCCTCTGGGTGGCTTCCGAGGGCCAGGTTCCCATGCAAAAGCTGGTAGAGTGATACTTCATTTCATTCTTAACCAAAAAAAAAAAAAAAAATTAAGGAGAATGTAGTTTTTAGGCCCAAAAAGCTGTTGCGAATTAATCCTCCTTGCACTTGCCCGGATGCTCCGTGGCACCAGGAGCAGAGGCTGGAGGGGGGTGGAAAAGCAATACGGGATGACTTGTTTTCTTATGAGCTGAATTCCAGCCTCGCACTCCAAATCCCCGTTTTTATAGACTTTTCCGCTGAAGTCTGCTCCTGCCCTGGGCATGCCTGTGTAACCGCTCCTCTCTCTGCATTCCTTAGATTCTTCTTCTGCCTGAGACGCTGGATTGAAGAAGGGGTCTGAGGTCCCTGCTGGAGAAAGGGAGGCGAGAAGGAGGAAAAGGAGGAGGAAGAGGTTTCCCTTGGACTCCAGGCCGTCAAAGCAGCAAACCAAACCATGTCACAGGTCCTACAGAACCACGTGTTGCGTGTTGGACAGACTGTGTGCGTTTCCTCACAGGGGAAAAGCAAGAGTTTGAGCCCGGCGGGGTACCCAGGCTGCTCCCCACTGCCCATCAAATACAGCTACTGCTCCCGGGAGGGCTGGGCTGCCCCCTCCACCGTGGTCCACACCAGTGCCCATCTGCTTCCCAGCACAGGGCTCTATGGAGCCCACCCTGCCTTCCAGCCCGTGGCTGCCCAGGGGAAGGGGCAGCAGGATTCCTCCTTGGAGAGACCCCCTGCCCCATATCAGCCAAAGAAGGAGGAGGAGGAGGAGACCAGCACAGATCCTGATCCTCACCTGGTGTCTCCGACCTTGGACATATCGATAGAGGATCTCAACAAGCTGATCCTAGAAATCGAACCGAACTTTCAGCCGCTCACCTGGAAGTCAGTGAAGGATGTGGTCCAGCCTGCTTCTCAGGGTGATGCTGTTGCCGCCAAGAAGCAGGATCCAGAGGCAATAGGTGAGGTAAAAGCTGCTGGTCGTGTGGTGGAGCCAGCGCAGCTCAGGTTTTTCTAGCGAAAACCATTTGCAAGAGGCAGAGGGGCTGGACACACACTAGGGGAGATGAGGTCCTGAGCTCCTCTGGAGGGCTGGAACCAGGCACCAGGTGACATCCCCAGTGGGATCAGCATCTCATGTGGGATGCTGCCTCCTGACATCAGGATTTCATGTAAAGGAACAGGAGAACAGACCGTGCACCCAGCTCTTCGTCACCTACGTGATTAGGTGGCCCCAGCCTCATCACATTTGAAACATCTTGTGTCCAGCTCAGGATCCAACAGGGAGAACAGCCTTTAGTTCAACCTCCTGTTTGTTTCCCTGGGTTTGAAGAAAACATTTCTCATTAGGGCTGGGATTTGTAGCTCTCAGAAAACGCCTGATCCAAGTTATTACCATCAGTGGCTGGAGACAGGCACTGAGCTCTGGAGCGCTGCCTGGAGCGTGCTCACCCTCCCAGCAGAGCCCCAGCTCTACCAAAGGGCAGCGGAGCCTTTCCCAGGGTCATACTTGACCTGTGGAAGCACAAGGGTTTGAAGCCAAATTTCCAAAGCCCTGGGCTAAGGTACTGATGGTGGTTACACAACCACCCCATTTAAATGTTCCCAATCGCTTTGCCAGGGAAATTCTTTTTCCAGGGCTCGCGCACTCCTCGGGCAGCATACCTGGCATACACGAGGCAGAACATCAGCAGCACATACCAGCCCCCTCGTTCTGTTTTCCCTCCTGGGTGCCTTACGTGAACCCTTTTGCAACACTCCTCTGCCATCCCTGCCACCCATCCTGGGGCCGTGTGTGCCGCTGCCTGTCCCAGCGCCCTCAGGAACACCTTGAAAATCTCTCCCCAGGCTCCTTTCCCCAGGAAGGTCAATCGAGAGGGTGTTCAAGGCATGAAAAATATCCCATTCTCACTGAATGCTCATGCAAAGGTCTGTGTGAGGCACATGGGGTTGGAGGAGGATGAGGTGTGGGTCTTTAGGTGCACCCACTGCGGGTGTGGGGGTCCCCATGCTGGAGCCAGAGAGCACAGGGGCTGGAGCTGAGGTGGGGCTTGGGCCACCCTGGAGTAGACACCATCCCTGCTTCCCGCTGGGATGGAAGGGGGTGGCCTTGCAGATAAAATACCCTGAGAAGGTGCAGGTTCAGCTCTTGGCTCCTCAGGCTGGTGTTTGGAGGCAATCGGACGCCTCCCCGTCAGGCATCTCTGGAGTCCCGAGCGGCTCAGCAGGTAGCGTGCTGGTGGTTTTGAAAATCTGGCTCCAAGTAGGGAACTGAACATCTGGAAACCTGGCCCTGAGTTCAGTGGGAAAACCCTCACTTCAGCTTTCGTTTTCTTTTAACGGCTATCATTTTTTTTTATGCAAACTTCCTGCTGCTGCCCAGCATCCCTCTTCACCCACCTCCTCCTGTCCCGGCCGGTGCCTGTGCCCTGCTCCCATCTCCCACCCGGCCCCATGGAAATGCTCCCCCTCACTCCCACCACCCTTTCCTCCCCTCGGCCACGTAGGGTAGGGCTGTCCAGAGCCCCCTTGAGCTTCTCAATCATTTCACACCCCTCCTTAGGGTGTCAGTTCCCTGAGAGCACAGTCAGTGGATGCGAGGGCTGGCAGGAGGCTGATGGTGCCCAGAGTCCACCAAAGGGGCTTGTTCCTTCTAGTGGAAAGCATGAGGAGGGGTTTTAACAGCAATAGGAGACACGTTCATGGCAGTCACTGATTCCCCCTGGCCCCTGGGTGTTCTGAGAGGAGAGGAAAAGGCAGGGCCTTGGCTTGTGTGACAGCTGGGCTCCGTGTCTCCGGCACTTTTGCCACTCCTTGGTGGTGGAAAACTGGCCAAGGTCTCGAGCAAATATTTGCGGTTTAACCACACCTGATAAGCAGGAGGGGAAAGGCCTCCTTAGACCAGGGCGCAAATGCTTTTCAGCTATTTCTTTAATCGACAATTAAAACCCTCATTTCTTTTCCCCTTTTGAGGGAGACTTTGACAAAAATCATCCGGCCGAGAGCTTGCAGGAAGGGTTTGCAGGCTGATACCAGAACCCGGTCCCTCTGGAACTTTTTCTGAGGACGGGCTTTGGAGGAGCTGCTGCCCGTGGCAGCGAGGGTGTGGAGGGGGATGGCTGTGGTCCTGGCTCCTTGCTCCTGCCTGGTCCTGCCACGTCCTCGCTGGGGACCAGCCCTTCAGCCTCACCCGGCGCCTCCTTGGCGGCTCTTCGCCGGCCGCGCCGACCCGGCCCCGCGCTGGGATGGGCAGGGAGAAGGGGCTCAGAGAGTAACTTTTGTACAGACTTGTGCTTTTCCTGCTCGTCAGGCTTTATGCCCCAAAGGTCTGGCTGCTCCTCCTTGCCGTAAACGGGGTCTGCAAGGCTTGGCAGATCTGATCCCCCCCAGCTGCCCCCACCGGCAGGTCCCAGGGCGCATAACACCAGTGCTGGGGAGATTGGGGCTGGTACAAGAGGTGTTTCATTGCTGCAACCAAAAGGTTTTCCTCTCTCCAAGAAACGTCTTTAAGAAAGTGGAACTTTCCTGAACCCCATGGCAGGGCGAGAACCAGGAGCTGGAAACGAAGCCGGGCACGTTCAGGCTAGAAAGGAGGCGGAGGTGATTAACCACTGGAACAGCCTCCCTGGGGAGGTGGTGAATTCGCCATCGCTGCAAGCCCTTAAATCGAGCCTGAGTCTCTCTTGCCAAAAGGCATCTTCCAGCTCAGTCAGAAATTATGACCTTGTTCGAGGCAGCCAGTGACTGACGTGTGTGGGAGCCTGTCACCCCCTTGTCCCTGCTGTGAGGCTTCACTGAAAGGTCTTGGAGCAAGTGATGCTCCATCAGATGTGTTTCTGGATAAATAATGGCGAGCAAAGGGGTTAGGGGATGTCCTGCCCACGCCGGGCATGAATGGAAGAGCAGGAAGAAACCCATAGCTCAGCCAGAAATTATGGCCTTGTTTGAGGAAGCCAGGGACTGACGTGTGTGGGAGCCTGTCACCCCCTTGTCCCTGCTGTGAGGCTTCACTGAAAGGTCTTGGAGCAAGTGATGCTCCATCAGATGTGTTTCTGGATAAATAATGGTGAGCAAAGGGGTTAGGAGATGTCCTGCCCACCCTGGGCATGAATGGAAGAGCAGGAAGAAACCCAGAGCAGGGCACAGGCACAGAAATTGATTTTCTAGAGAGAGTTGTGCGGGATGGGAGGAGGGAAGGGAGGGCAGCCACCCCCTGCCCTGGGCTGTGTGATTGCTGCTGCGTGGTCCCAGAGCTGATACCTAAAGCCTTGTGACCACCCTTGTCCCTCGTGGCTTCGCTCTGCCTCCCGCTCCACAGCCGTGGGGCCGATGGTGCAGATGATGGTGTAGCTGGTGGGGATGGTGCGGGTGACGTCCCCCCGTGCTCCTCCACCCAGCCGTGGGCACCCTCTGAACCTGACGTCACCCCTGGGGAGTGGGGGGAGCAGCCAGATGTTTTTCCCTTGAGTCAGGTACAAATCAAGCAGCTGCTGCAGGAAACACCCGCTTCTCGTGGCAGGTCTCGGCAGGCACCGGCAGAGCGACGCCGGAGAGGGGGGGTCTGCACAGCCAGACATGGCCCCCCAGCCCCCATAGGGTCTGAACGGAGGGCAGTGCTGGGCCATGGGGGTCTCCCTGCAGCGCTGGAGGGGGAGCAGCACCCCCAGCCCACCCCACAGAGCTTGTGAACCAGCCAAAATTAATAGCAAGAAGATCAGAGACGAGTGTCCTCTGCTGAGCTTAGCTAACGAACCTGACTCCAGCACTGAGTTGGTAACGACCTCCTCTTTCTTCCTCCAGACATTAAATACATTGAGATGACTCCAGGCAGAGCCACGTGTCCCGAGCGGCTGCAGGGCTCCCCCAGCCCTTCGGGGACACCATTCTCGAGGTCCCCCCAGGGCAACAGCTCCCTGTCCCAAAAAGGGGGACTCAGAGGCAACATGGCCCCCTGTAACCTCTCATCCCTGGGGGGGGATCACTGTGGCTCGGTGGCTGTGAAGAAATCAGCCCCCACAGGGTCTGAATGGAGGGCAGTGCTGGGCCATGGGGGTCTCCCCCCAGCCCCTGGGGGTCCCTGCAGCGCTGGAGGGGGACCAGCACCCCCAGCCCACCCCACAGAGCTTGTGAACCAGCCAAAATTAATAGCAAGAAGATCAGAGACGAGTGTCCTCTGCTGAGCTTAGCTAACGAACCTGACTCCAGCACTGAGTTGGTAACGACCTCCTCTTTCTTCCTCCAGACATTAAATACATTGAGATGACTCCAGGCAGAGCCACGTGTCCCGAGCAGCTGCAGGGCTCCCCCAGCCCTTCGGGGACACCATTCTCGAGGTCCCCCCAGGGCAACAGCTCCCTGTCCCAAAAAGGGGGACTCAGAGGCAACTACAGCCCCGGTGGCACCGTGATTTTCTCCAGCCCATCCAGACCTGTGAGCCCCCGCTCGGGCACCCCATCGAGCTCTGTCTCCCCGACCTCCGAGTGTGTCACCGTCCCCCCGCAGTGCGTGTCCGGACAGACCGACAGCATCTCCTACAGCAACTCCCCGGGCTTCGACAACTTGCTGAAGCCCATACAGGTGGTGAGGACACAGCAGAGGAGCAGCTGGGTCTCCCTGCTCTCCACCAGCCCCGGCTCCGACACCAGTTACATCCTTGGAAGGTAAATGCCAACTTGTGTCCCGGTCTGGGGTTGATGGTGGGGATGGAAGGGGCACAGGGTGGTTTCCCACTGTCCAAGCCCTTCCTTCTGCAGGCTGGGAGTCCCGTGGTCCCTGGGGTGGGACCCAGGTTCATCCTGGCTGAACAGCCCCCCTCAGCTCCTCCTGCTCTGTCTCCCCCTGCAGCAGCACCCACTCGCTCCCCCCCGACGACTCGGATGCTCACCCCACTGCCCGCTGCTCGGCCGACTGCCCGTCCCCTGCCAGCTCCCTGGGCAGCCCCTGCCCAACCTCCCCCAGCATCAGGGCTCACTCTGGAGAAGCTTTTGGCCTGAGCCCCCACCAGCCCAGGACAACCTGCTCCACCAAAGCCAACGTCTCCCCATCCCAGAAGGGACAGGCCAGCAGCTGCCCCCCCTCCATCCTCAACTCCGCAGCTGACATCCCGGTGCTGCTGGTGAACGGGTGCCTGGAACAAGGAGATGCATCTTCCAGCCTGGCCAAAGCCCCCCCAACCTCTGCCAAGCAGAGCCCCCCTCCCAGCTGCAGCCCGGCCGTGGGGCTCGGGGCCCTCAACAACGCGCTGTCAGCACCGGCTCTCTCCTGCGTCTCGGACAGTGAGTCACCTCCCTGCCATGGGGCAGGTCCTGGGGGGAAGGAGCTGTAAAGCCCAGCAGCTGCCAGGAAAAGGGGGAGGAAACACCAGTTTCTACTCTGGTTTAGCTGGGGGGTTACAGACATGAAGGACAGGAGGTCCCTGCTGGAGCTGGAGATCCTCAGTGTATCTCCGCAGGGTTGCAGGGCTCTCTGGTGGTCTCAGCTCTTTGCTGGTGACCCCGTGTCAGCCCCAGTGTTTGCCCACAACATCCACGTGCTCAGCTCTGGTCCCCCCAAAGGAGGTGCAGAGGCACTTATTTATAATACCTGAGAATGAGGACCATAATTCTGTCATTTCATGCTTGTTTGTGGGCCCGGGACGGGTGGGGAGGAGGGGTTACGGTTCCAGTTTGCTCTGGAGGACATCTAAAGATACCAGAGTTTATAAGGTCTCTCATTCAAGAGTAAACAATAGGGCTGTTGTTCTCTGGAGGAGATTAGCAGAGGCAGCTCTCCAGGCAGAGGGTTTTAATTGGGATTCTTATGGGAATAGCAGGAGGGCTTTGCGGGTCAGATCCTCAGTGGGTGTAGATCCCCATGGTCCAGTGGACTTGTGCAGGGCTGGGCAGACTGGCAGGGCTGGGGGATTCCATGTGCTGCCTCTGCATCCATCACAACCTGCCAAGAGAGATAATTACATGGAGAACGAATCATTCTGAGGAGCAAGGAGGACACTCTGATCAAAAGGGCTGAAAAAAAAAACCATCAGCCTGAAAGAGAAATATCTTTGCTAGAGCCCTGTCCTGCTCAGTGGTGTCTGCTGGGAAGGTCTCACAGGTCCCATGCTGGCCTTGATGCCCTAAGTTCTCTTGCAGGTCCCCTCGGAGCTGGGCAGCCGACCATGAAGTTTGTGATGGACACGTCGAAGTTCTGGTTCAAGCCGAGCATCACCAGGGACCAAGGTAAGGCAGCGAGTGTCCCTGCTGGGATAACCCCACCTCAGGTTTGCTGTCTGAGGGTCTGCTGCCTCTTCCCCTCCCTGGGGCTTGGTCTCCACACACCTCAGTCCCGCTCTTGCCCCCGCTGAGGTCCTGTGGGGACAGGGTGATGGCAATTCAGGGTGTGCTGGGGGTTGATGGGCACGGAGAGACCCACTTACAGGTCTAGGGGGAAGGCTCAGAAGTACCTGTCCTCTCCTTGGGTCCAGCAAAGCTTCTCCTGCCTCTGACTGTGCCGGTGGCACTCAGCATGGCCCGGGATGGGGCTGACAGCCCTGGGGAGGGCAGAGACCCTTGGGATGGGCCAGGGATGCTCAGTCTTGGGGGACCGTGTACCTGCCCGAGGGACGTGCACGTCCTCAGCAAAGGCTCCTGATGGTTTCTCGCTGCTGCTGCCAAGGAACGTCTCCCCGCAAGAGCCCGGGCCGGAGGCGAAAGGCAACGCGGGGAGGTTCCACCTGTTTTCCTTGGCTGAGCCCCCGCCTGTGCTTTGACAGCCATCCAGCTGCTGAGGGACAAGGAGCCAGGCACGTTCCTGGTGCGGGACAGCACGTCGTACCGGGGGGCTTTCGGGCTGGCCATGAAGGTTCCCGTCCCTCCAGCCAGCGGCCAGACAGGTATGGGGGGGAGGTGGGAGAGGGGGGGGTTCTCTTCAGGGATTTAACTGAAACCGGCCAAACTAAAGCCAGCTGAGAAGCTGTGGGACTCTGGTGGTGTGAGAAGGGCTGGCAGCGGGGTCTGTGTGTGCCCGTCCCCGTGCTGTCACCATGTTTGCCATGCAGAACAGAAGCTCTGGTGGATGCCCGGGGATGGGGCCCTGGGGTGGGCAGGGGA